AACTAGATAAATCTAACCACAAAATAAACAAGAAAGAAGTTAAGGAGGTGAATAGAATATTAGAAAAGTTAGGTATGATAGACCTCTGGAGAAAATTGAATGGGGATAGAAAGGAATATACTTTTTTCTCGTGGTACATGGCACATACACAAAAATTGACCATGTACTAGGGCATAAAAACCTCACAATCCAATGCAGAAAGGCAGAAATATTAAATGCATCCTTTTCAGATCATGATGCAATAAAAATTATATGTAATAAAGGGCCATGGAAAGATAGACTAAAAAATAATTGGAAACTAAATAATCTAATCCTAAAAAATGATTGGGTCAAACAACAAATCATAGAAACAATCAATAACTTCATTCAAGAGAATGACAATAATGAGACAACATACCAAAACTTATGGGATGCAGCAAAGCAGTTCTTAGGGGAAGTTTTATATCTCTAAATGCTTACATGAATAAAATAGAAAAAGAGGAGATCAATGAATTGGGCATACAACTAAAAAAACTAGAAAAAGAACAAATTAAAAATCCTCAATTAAACACCAAATTAGAAATATTGAAAACCAAAGGAGAAATTAATAAAATTGAAATTAAGAAAACTATTGAACTAATAAATAAAACTAAGAGCTGGTTTTATGAAAAAACAATAAAATAGATAAACCTTTGGTTAATTTAATTAAAAAAAAGAAAGAAGAAAACCAAATTACCAGTATCAAAAATGAAAAGGGTGAATCCACCACCAAGGAAGAGGAAATTAAAACAATAATTAGGAACTATTTTGCCCAACTGTATGCCAATAAATTTGACAATCTTAGTGAAATGGATACATATTTACAAAAAATATAAATTGCCCAGATTAACAGAAGAGGAAGTAAAATACTTAAATAACCCCATCTCAGAAAAAGAAATTGAACAAGCCATTGATGAACTCCCTAGGAAAAAATCTCCAGGGCCAGATGGATTTACATGAATTCTATCAAACATTTAAAGAACAATTAATTCCAATACTATATAGACTATTTGGGAAAATAGGTGAAGAAGGAGTCTTACCAAATTCTTTTTATGATACAAATATGGTGCTGATACCTAAACCAGGAAGAGTCAAAACAGAGAAAGAAAATTATAGACCAATTTCTCTAATGAATATAGATGCAAAAATTTTAAAAAAATACTAGCAAATAGATTACAGCAACTTATCACAAGAATAATACACTATGACCAGGTAGGATTTATACCAGGAATGCAGGGTTGGTTCAATATTAGGAAAACTATCAGCATAATTGAGCATATCAACAAAACCAACAGAAACCACATGATCATCTCAATAGATGCAGAAAAAGCTTTTGATAAAATACAACACCCATTCCTATTAAAAACACTAGAAAGCATAGGTATAAATGGAGTCTTCCTTAAAATAATAAATAGCATCTACCTAAAACCTTCAGCAAGCATTATATGTAATGGGGACAGCTAGAAGCATTTCCAATAAGATGGGGTGAAACAAGGATGTCCATTATCACCACTGTTATTCAATATTGTACTGGAAACTTAGCTTTAGCAATAAGAGAAGAAAAAGAAATTGAAGGCATTAGAATAGGCAAAGAAGAAACAAAGCTATCACTCTTTGCAGATGACATGATGATATACTTAGAGAATCCTAGAGAATCAAGTAAAAAACTACTTGAAATAATAAACAACTTTAGCAAAGTTGCAGGCTATAAAATAAACCCAAATAAATCATCAGCATTTCTATATATTACCAACAAAGCCCAACAGCAAGAGATAGAAAGAGAAATCCATTTAAACTTACTGTAGACATTATAAAATATTTAGGAGTCTACCTCCAAACAAACCCAGGAACTCTATGAACACAATTACAAAACACTTTTCACACAAATAAAATCAGATCTAAATAATTGGAAAAACATCAGTTGCTCATGGGTAGGCCAAGCTAATATACTAAAAATGACAATCCTACCTAAGCTAATTTACTTATTCAGTGCCATACCAATCAAACTACCAAAAATTATTTTATAGAGTTAGAAAAAATAATAACAAGATTCATTTGGAAAAACAAAAGGTCCAGAATATCAAAGGAACTAATGAAAAGAAATGCAGGGGAAGGTGGCCTAGCAATTCCAGATCTTAAATTGTATATAAAAGAAATAGAGTGGTGGATCAGTGGAATAGGTTAAATATGCAAGACACAGTAGTCAATGACTATAGTAATCTATTATTTGATAAACCCAAAGACCCCAGCTTCTGGGATAAGAACCCACTCTTTGAAAAAAACTGCTGGGAAAACTGGAAAAGAGTATGGCAGAAACTAGGCATAGACCAAATCTCACACCATATACCAAAATAAAGTCAAAATGGGCTCATGACTTAGATATAAAGGCTAATACATAAGTAAACTGGGAGAACAAGGAATAGGTTACCTATCAGATCTATGGAGAACAGAAGAATTCATGACCAAACAGGAGATAGAGAACATTATGAAAAGCAAAATGGATAATTTTGATTACATTAAATTGAAAAGTTTTTGCACAAACAAAGCCAATGCAACTAAGATTAGAAGGAAGGTAGAAAATTGGGAAAGAATTTTTACAACCAGTCTCTCTGATAAGGCCTCATTTCTAAAATATATAGAGAATTAAGACAAATTTATAAGAATACAAGCCATTCCCCAATTGATAAATGGTCAAAGGATATGAACAGACAGTTCTCAGATGAAGAAATTAAAGCCATCTATAGTCATATGAAAAAATGCTCTAAATCATTATTGATTAGAGAAATGTAAATCAAAACAACTCTGAGGAACCACATCACACCTATCAGATTGGCCAACATGACAAAACAGGAAAATGATAAATGTTGAAGAAGATGTTGGAAAATTGGAGCATGAATGCATTGTTGGTGGAGTTGTGAAATGATCCAACCATTTTGGAGAACAATTTGGAACTATGCCCAAAGGGCAAAAATGTGCATACCCTTTGATCCAGCAATAGCACTTCTAGGGCTATATCCCAAAGAGATCAAACAAATGGGAAAAGGACCCACATGTACAAAAATATTCATAGCAGCTCTTTTTGTGGTGGCAAAGAATTGGAAATTGAGAGGATGCCCATCAATTGGGGAATGGCTGAACAAGTTGTGGTATATGAATGTAATGGAATACTATTGTGCTATAAGAAATGATGAACAGGCTGACTTCAGAAAAACCTGGAAAGACTTGTATGGTCTGATGCTGAGTGAAGTGAGCAGAACCAAGAGAATTGTACACATAACAGCCATAGTGCGATGACTAATATTGAAACTTAACCCTTCTCAGCATACAAGGATCTAAGACATCTCCAAAGGCCTCATGGATGGAAAATGCTATCCATCCAAAGAAAGAACTATGGAGTTTGAATGCAATCAAAGCATATATTTGCTATTTTTTTCTTCTGTTGTGTTTTTCCTCTTTCTGTGGTTCCTCCTATTGGTAATTCTTACTTACAACATCACTAATGTGAAAATATATTTAATAGGAATGTATATGTATAGCCTATATCACATTGCACATTGTCTTGGGGAGGGAAGTGGGGAGGGAGAGGGAGAAAAATTTGAAGCTCAGAAGTTTATGGAAGTGATTGCTGGTAATTCAAAATAAATCAATTTTAAAAAAAGAAAGTAAAAAAAAATCTATGGGTCTATGACAATATTCCAAAGCTTTTGATTGTTGGAAAGAGAGATTGTATAGATTAAGATAGAAAAAGCAGACACAGAGGTTGAGAGAAAGAAAAAAAGGAGAGAAAAGAAAAAAAAAGAAAGGAGAAAAGAGTAAAGACATGAAAATTCACAAAAGATAAGAGAAATGAGTACAAAACAAATGAGGGAGGAAAGAGAAAAGAGGAATAGGGAGAAGAGAGCATTAGAATGAGAGAGAATACAGAGAAGAACCTGGAAAGAGATGGCCAGGGTGTTGATTTGTTTTGCTTGACCTTCCTTAATTGTTACAAATTCTATAAGAGGAGGGGAAGGGAATGGAAGATAGTAATGTTTTAAAAAAAGAAAGAAAGAAAGGAATATGAATAAGAGAAAAAAAGTCCATGAGAGAGCATAAGAGAATAGGAGAGAGGAGAAAGGGAAAGAAAAGAGAACTGGCTTTAATCAAAGTTAGTTTCACCATCTGGACAAATCTTGTCTGAAATATTTAGAAGGAAGAGCCAAGGTCTGGGAGGGACAATAATTTGGAAATTAAATTCTATATAATCCTTCTTTTTTTGCCTTAGGCTAAAGGACTAAGGTATCTGTTCAGCTAGCCTCTTTAACTGTAACCTTTTATCTGCATTTGGCCTTATAGCCAGGAAGCTCTTTGTATGATGTTTTGCTGGATATCATAACATGCTTTAGAGATTACAGGGAAAAGATTATAATTCCCATTTTCCAGAGGAAAAAAATGAGGTCCAGATAGGCAAAATGAGTTGCTTAAGGTCACTTAGGAACAGAACACAATTCTTCTGTCTCTAAGTTAATAGAAGTAATTTTCTTTTCTTTCAACAAAATTTTTTCTTTAAAAAACCAACATGGACCTGTTGATGTAATATTAATCTAGCTCTTCTCTACTCCTACAGAGTGATTTTCCATTGCTAGAAAGCAACCTTTCTCTTCTCCCACTCATTAGGAAGAAAACACAACCCAAAGATAGCAACAGAGAAATAAAAAAGTATTCAATTTCTGATTTGTGTATGCACACATAAACCTTATACTCAAACACCCAATAGACGGCACATACACACACACCCACAAATGCTAATGTATGCATGTATTCATGAACATATGCTTGCACATGCACACATACTACACAAATACAAATGCACACATTATACACAGACACTAATACACAGACACTATGTCACTCCCAACCATTTAAGTACTACATTAGATATTAGTTCAGTAGAACTCTTAATCAAGGACTAGTTTTAAGCCAACGAAGGAATCCGTACTCACCATTTAGTTGATTAGGACTTTTTATTAGCAAAGAATGTCTGTATTTTACTCAGAGTCACCTCTGATTCCAGATTCCCAAATGCACTGGGTATCCATCATGATATAACATTTGCTTCTGGCTGGAACTAGTGGTCTTCTACAAAATAGTGGAACACTCAGCTAGTCAGTCAGTTAGCCAACAACCATTTATTAAGCACTTAGTATGCACCAGGTCCTGTGCTAAGCACTGAAGATGCAAAGAAAATAAAAAACATAGTCCCTGAAATCAAGGATATATATTCTAATGGAGGAGACAACATGAAAATAATTAGGTATATATTAGTTACATGCAGAGTGAGGGGAAAATAATATTAGACGAGCAGATACTGTTCTAATGAGAAATTCAAGATGGCACTAGTGCTGTATGTCAGGGGGTGACTGGGAAGATGATGGTGCCCTTAACGATAATAGGGAAGTTGGGGAGAAGGGAGGATTTGGGGGAAAGATCATGAGTTCTGTTTTGGGCATATGAGTTTGAGATTCTTATGGAACATCTAATTCGAGATGTCCAAAAGGCAATTGGTGATTCAAGACTAGAGCTCAGGATAGAATGTGGTGCTAGATAGAAAGACAGAGCATTTATTAAGCATTTTCTCTGTACCATGCATTCTAGATTGAAGAATTATCTGCAAGAGACAGCATTTGAATCCATAGGAATTAATGAGCTCTCCTAGTGAGAGAGTATAGCAGAAAAGAGAAGGGAACCAAGGACAGAGCCTTGGAGGATATCAACAGATAGTGGCTGTGACATGGATGAAAATTAAAAAGAGACTGAAAGACAGAAATCAGAGGGGTAGGAGGAATACCAGAAGAAAGCAGTGTCACAAAATCTAGAGAGCAAAGTGTCTAGAAGGAGAAGGTTATCAATAGTGTCAAATGCTTCAGAGATTAAGGATGAGAATTGAGAAAAATCCATTAGATCTGGCAACTAGGAGATCATTGGTAACTGTGGAAAGGGCAGCTTCAATTGAATTATCCGATGAGAAGCTCCAGGTTGCAGAAGATTAAGAAGAGTGTAAGTGGAATCAACTACCACAGAAGATTTTTTTTCAAGGAGTTTAGTCAAAAAGGTTAAAAGATATATCTGACAGTAGTTAAGGGGATGGTCAGATCAACTGATAACCTGGAAAAGAACTAAGAGGTAGAGGGATTGGAAATCATGGTTAGGATGAAGAACAAGGTTAGAGGATATATGACACAGGGAAAAACAGAATGATAATATGTTGAGATGAGATAAAGGAATTTTGGAATTTATGGACATGGAAGTGGAACACATGTGAGTTATAGTAAGATCAGAAGCATTTCCATCTCTGTATCTGAAGTGAAGTGGAGGAGCAGGTCATGGGAAATGAGTAGATTTAAGTAAGCACCAACATATATTTTAAAGTTTCCTAGAATGAGGGCAGGAATTGAGGTGGAGAAAGAGACAATAAGTCAGACATGGAACTCATTAAAGAAGGAATGAGAATGTTCTGAGGATCAATAAGATAAAAGCAATCAAGATCTCCATTAGATGATGTATGTATATATCACAAATCTCAAAGGAGGAGACATTGCTGAGTAATAGTGTTAGGGGAAGAGTCTGGAAATGGAAATAGGGAGCACAGAGTATTCTGATTCCGCCATCATGATCAACAAAGTTGAGAGGTATGAAAGTCTAGCCAGTGCTAGACAGGGTAGCAAAGGAAAAGATATTATCAAGAGGGAGCGAAGTCTTAATCTGTGCTGGAAGATGCAAAGAATGAAAGATGAAAGGAAGTTTGTTTATAGAGCAGAGGGCACAGTAGAGACTATGGAGAGATCCATAGCAGGGCATTAGTGTGGAGTATGATTGCAGTGGATGGGTTTAAGGGAATAGGCAGTTGTACACTGGTACTGGGCTTTATACATTGGTAGTTGGGGGAAAAGAATTGGTGACATAGGGAGAGTATAAGCGGGTAGGAGTATGCTAACCATTGAGGAATGAGTCCTAGAAGAGTGTCAGTGTTTGGAGAGAGGCCTGGTTTTTGTTTGTTTGTTTGTTTGTTTTGCTAGGCAATGGGGTTAAATGACTTGCCTAGGGTCACACAGCTAGTGTTATGTGAGTGAGGCCGGATTTGAACTCAGATACTCCTGACTTCAGGGCCAGTGCTCTATCCACTGCGCCACCTAGCTGCCCCCTGGAGAGAGGCCTGTTGAGGGGAGAAAAGTGAATAGACTGTTCACTTGCCTTCCTTGAGGTCTAACTTCCTGATAAGTAGCTGTGTACAGGAAAGCCCCAGGAGGCCTGCTTCATAGGAAGCAAGAGTAGCAGAAGGTAAGGCCATATTCAGAGTCTAGACTCCAGGTCAGAAATTAGGCAGTGGCTGTGCAAGGTGGGTCATTCAGAAGAATGCTCTGGGGGCAAAGATAGAAGCTGGGATTTGGGTGGTAGAGTCTTATCCTGGGAGGGCTGGATGATTGATGGGCAAGATTCTCAGTGACAGAGTTCAGTCTAAAGTCTACTGATGGGGGATTGGGGGGGTGCAGAGCCAAGATAGCAGAGTAAAAGCAGTGATTTGCTTGAGCTCACCCCCAAACCTATGCAAATACCTGTAAAAAGTGTCTCTAAACAAATTCTAAAGCAGCAGAATCCACAAAAAGACAGAGTAAAACAAATTTCCAGCCCAAGGCAACCTGGATGGTTGATAGGAAAGATATATCCCACTGGTCTGGGAGAGGAGTGCATTTTCGCATTGGGCGCATAGGCCTCAGCAAACCTGGAGCAGGCCTCAAAGGACTGAATCACAGGCAGCTATGGTGGTTTCCAGCTCATGAATATCAAAGACAACTTAGAAGGTCAGTAGGAAAAGTTTATGTCTGTGGTGAGAGAGAAGCATGGCCCCAGCTCCAGTCCCCCCAGGGCTAAGTGTGGCACCGGGGAGGTGGTTGCCTCCTGAGCTTCTGACCCACAGCCTGAGGGGGAATCAAGTGGCTGATCAGAGGGGGATTTCAGGGATCTCTTTGCTGGTGCAGCATTCTCTTGCTTTGCCTGTGCTTGTATCTGGGTCGCAGTTTTGGGTGGCAATCCTAGGGCAAGGAGGAGCACTAGCATGGTGGAGCTTGTAGTGGAGATGCAGAAGGAATCCTCCTCACAGTTCCAAGACAGAAAAGAGTGCTTGTGGTCACTCATAGACCAGAACACAGACCAGAAAAGGAGTAAACAGCTTGACTTTGATCATAGCACTTTGGAAGAACTAAAAATTTACAGGTCCCTAGAAGTATCTTTGACAACAGCTACACAAAACTCTCAAAGCTTGGGATAGAACATTCTCCACACTTGAAGCAGACCCCTACCTTAACAGAGTTAATAACTCAAGTAATTGTTTGGGATCATGAGCAAGCAGCGCAAAAAGAGTCAAATCATAGAATCCTACTTTGGTGACAAAGAAGATCAAAACACACAACCAGAAGAAAGACAACAAAGTCAAAGCTCCTATATCCAAAGCCTCCAAGAAAAATACGAATTGGTCCCCTGCCATGGAAGAGTTCAAAAAAGATTTTGAGAAGCAAGTAAGAGAAGTAGAGGAAAAACTGTGAAGAGAAATAAAAGTGATGCAAGAAAATCCTGAAAAACAAGTCAACAGCTTGCTAAAGGAGACCCAAAAAAATACTGAAGAAAATAACACCTTAAAAAATATCCTAACTCAAATGGCAGAAGAGGTCCAAAAAACCAATGAGGAGAAGAATGTCTTATAAAGCAAAATTGGCCAAATGGAAAAGGAAGTTCAAAAGCTTACTGAAGAAAATACTTCCTTAAAAATTAGAACAGAGCAATTGGAAGCTAGTGACTTTATGATAGAATAAAAAAAGAATAAAAAAATAGGAAAAAATGTGAAATATCTTATTGGAAAAACAAGTGACCTGGAAAATAGATTTAGGAGAGATAATTTAAAAATTATTTGGACTATCTGAAAGCCATGATCAAAAATAGAGCCTAGACATCATCTTCCAAGAAATTATCAAGGAAAACTGCCCTGATATTTTAGAACCACAGGGCAAAATAGAAATTGAAAGAATCCACTGATCACCTCCTGAAAGAGATCCCCAAAGAAAAAACTCCTAGGAATGTTGTAGCCAAATTCCAGAGTTCTCAGATCAAGGAGAAAATATTGCAAGCAGCCAGAAAGAAACAATTCAAGTATTGTGGAAACACCATCAGGATAACACAAGATTTAGCAGCATTTACATTAAGGGACCACAGAGCTTAGAATATAATATTCCAGAGAGTAAAGGCGATATGATTACAACCAAGAATCACCTACCCAGCAAAAATGAGCATAATCCTTCAGGGGGAAAAAATGGACATTCAGTGAAATAGAGGATTTTCAAGCATTCTTAATGAAAAGACCAGAGCTGAATAGAAAATTTGACTTTCAGATACAAGACTCAAGAGAAACATGAAGGGGTAAACAGGAAAGAGAGATCATAAGAGACTTATTAAGGTTGAACTGTTTACATTCTGCATGGAAAGATGATATTTGTAACTCATGAGAGCTTTGTCAGTATTAGAGTAGTTGGAGGGAAAAAATTATATGTAGGTATATGTATAGACAGATAGATAGATAGATAGATAGATAGATAGATAGATAGAGGGCACAGGGTGAGTTGAAGATGAAGGGGTCATATCTGGAGAATAAAATTAAGGGGTGAGAGGATTATATGGAGAGAAGGAGAAAGGGAGAGGTAGATTGGGGTAAATTATCTCACCTAAAACAGACAAGAAAAGTCTTTTACAAAGTAGGGGAAATGGAGGAAGGTGAGAGGGAATGAGTGAATCTTATTTTCATCGGATTTGGCTTAAGGAGAGAATAACATACACACTCAATTGGGTATGGAAATCTATCTTACCCTACAGGAAAATAGGAGGGGAAGGGGACAAGAGAGCAGGAGGATGATAGAGGGGAGGGCAGATTGGGGGAAGGGGTAATCAGAAATAAACACTTCTAAGGAAGGACAGGGTCAAAAGAGAGAATAGAATAAATTGGGGGTGGGATAGGATTAAGGGAAATATACTTAGTTTTTTACAACATGACTACTATGGAAGTGTTTTGCATGACTACACATGTATAACCTGTA